TTTTTGGTATTTTGACCGGCACATGTTTGTTTACATTCTGTTCACTATTTATGCAATGTACTTTTAGTAGTTTTCACAAGTCAGCCAGGTGGCCATTTTTATGTTACGGGGCAACTAAAGCAATAATGAAACAACTGATCTCACCTTTTAATGTAGGCTTTTTAGATGAGTCAGCACAAACAGTGTATTCCATGAGCACATATGACTGTAATGTAGGCAACAAACGTTTGTAATTATGAAATGTGGGCAGCAAGTTTAATAAGTAGCTAAACTTTAGCACCAGTACATGTATTTATCCATAGAGAATGTAGAGAAGACATGAAACTTATGCAAAATGCATGGAAAACTTATTTGCATGAACCCAACCTTGATTGTTTTACTTATAATTGACTTTAGCCAACAGGTTAGGCCTTGATTTAAAGGCTGCACCGCTGTGCCTGTGGAAATAAGCTTTTCCAATAAACATGAGCTTTTTTAAGCAAATCATCAGATTTTATTTACTGACCATTCAGCAGCACCAATGTTAAAATGTTTCCTCCCGAGTTGCCTGCTCTGCAGTCTGGTCTCCTTTCACTGAGGCATTTGTTTCATTTTACACAAAAGAAGAGACCACGTCTGTGAGGTTTTCAGTCCCTAAAGGGGGGGCTTTTGTGTTCCCTTACAGTATGTGTTCCTTTTCAGTGCTTCTCCATTCCCTCACAATAGTTTGTATTACATCATCTGTCTGAAACTCTGCTGTTCTTGGATCAGTTCAGTCCAAGCTATTTCCCTCATAGCAGCCAACATGATAAAAATCAGGCAAATAATTCATGTAAAGACATTATTGTAAAAGCCTCAAAACATTTCCAAACATGTAAAGCTGTTTACAGTTTAAGGACAATTCTTACTAATGGTAGGTAATGGTCATTAAATTATGCATTTAGTATAGAGACCAAAGTGTGAGATAATAAAAGACTCTTAACATGTTTAATTAAAATTGCTCAGTAAAAACAATTCAAGTTGATAATTAAATGTTGTTTTTTTTTAATTAAAGACTAATTTAAAAAATGTTATTCTATTTACATGTGTCTTCCAATCATAGTAAAAATCAATCAATCAATTCAATTAATTGGGAAATTTAATTTTTCTATTTCGCGATCTCTTTAGTTTAAAGAGGCTGTGTTTAATTTAAAGATGTGTAAAAAGTGTAATCAGATTTAATCAGATTGAACCCATAGAGCAGCAGGAGCTCTGATTGACCATTTGTTAAGCGTTGGGAGGAGATTTCTGTCATCAGTTTGATTGTTGTATTGCATTATATTGGCAATAAAATATATATTTGTAAATAAAATAACTTTTAAAATGTATTCTTGAAATAATTCAAAAGGTTTAATTTATTCCATTTACTGTTTCATCTACAGGCCAATATAAATAGCCCCTCTATAATTTAAAGCCAGTGTGTCACACTAAAAATGAAAAGCAAAGGTAAAAAGAATTCTCTCATCAATATTTATTTCGAAAAACATCAATTGAAAGAATCAGTAATCAGACTTTGCTTCCACGGAGTTCCTTTCTTCTTGGTGCTGCTTCTTTGTGATCTGGGGGAATGACATCTCTAAGAAAGGTTGTCTATGCTTATGTGATGGAGGGAAGCGTAAATAAACTTGACATCAACACTTTGTCTCCTTTGCTCCTGTGAAACATAATAGAACACAACGATGCTGCAGCTTCAAATATCAGCTTTAAAAAATGTGGGAATTTTTATTTTATTTTATAGCAGTTATGTTATGGTTTTACAAACTCATACTGTGTTTTCTGCAAGGAAATGTAGGAGTTATGGCTTTCTACTTTATTTTATACAGTCTAAGTTTTCTACATGATCTCCAGCTCAACCACCGGTTTTCTGTTCGCTCCGCCCCCTTCGTTCCAAACGTCATGGCGTCGAAGCACAGTGTGCTAGTGCTGAAGTGTAAGAAATGTTTTTTTGATAGGCTACAAGTGGCCTAATTTTCTTGAAGTGTCCCATAATAGCGGAATTCCCATATTGACTACATTTGCGCACTCGTGACACACTGTAGTGTAGCTGTCAGTCAACACAGAAGAATCAGGTAATTCCGGATCGACCATGGCTGCGTACGTGAGTCTGACCAGCCTGACACATACTTCTCGAGTCTGTATTCAGAAGTGGTGATGCGACATGGACTGGATGTCAGCTTTACCCGAGGAGTTGTGGAACATTCCTCTGACAAACCTGGCCATACCCGGTGTGTTTAACACTTTTTTCTCTTGCTGTTGTAGCCTAATGTTACTTAACAGTGCAGGTTATTAGCCTACTTCTATACTGCATAACGGTAGGAAATCATTCTCTAAGTTCTTATTCCAGCTTCTACTGTGAATGTAAATACTTTATGATTTCTTAGAAGAATAGATGAAGGGTAAATTCCTGTAATCTGGCACTTTGTGCAATTTTGAGTTATTCCATATCTAACAAATTAGATCAACACATTAGACCTTCCTGAAATCCTCAGGGTGTTTTCTAACCACACCAGGAAGGCGTGCAGATATCTTACCCAGAAGTGACTTGCCACACCTATTGGTGTTCTTTGTACAAAAAACATTTTTGGTCATCAGGGACAAGTCACTTTGTAATCTGTAATAATGACAAAATGACATGGACAGAAAACTGAATAAGAAAATGTATTTTACTCATAGAAAATTCCTCAATTGATATAAACATAAAAAGAGTGATATTTCTTCAAGAACTAAATAAGGAGAATACTTCCTGTCTTAATACAGGATTAATCTACCTCACATCATTTAAAATTGTTTAAAACATCCTATTAAAATTGTGGTACTATAACATTTAAAAAAAATCTACTAATTCAAGCAGCAGTTAGAAATTAGGTTATTCATTTAAATTCTCCATTCTATTAAAACTGGTGCTACTCAGGGGAGCAAATCACCATCTATCATGCCATTATCTTCTGCACATAGTCACACAAATGTTGTGCATTTTAGGCTAGTGGTTAGGTTAACTACTAGAAACCAGTCTCTCCCAGTTCAGCTTTAATATGTCTATTCACACCTGTTTACCCAGGGAGCCATGATGCCATGAGTTACTGTCTGGACATAAACTCCCCATTGGTCCCATCTGAGTCGGAGTTTTTTAGGCTCTTGGATGGACTTTTCCACTGCTTTACCAGACCTGTCATTTTTAGATGGACTACAACGCAGGTATGTATGGTATAAATGTATAAAGATTATCAGTTGCCAGACAAATTGTGCTGACTATTTCAGAGTGCTGTGAGGACCTCTATGGGACTAAGAAGGTGTTGCTGTGGGGTTTTCGCACTCAACCTCCCAGAAACCACTTGGCAGTCTGACAGGGTGGCCAGGACTGAGTTCAGCCCCACAAAACGTTGATTTAAACATAAATGGTGCCTTGAAAAAAACTTTACTGCCTTTTCAATACAGCTGTGTTATTGTACATGTTGCTGCTGATTGGGTAACACCTCCGACACAGCCACCAAACGGGAGAAAACGTTGCACACCTTTTCGAGGGCACACGTCGTTAAATCTGGAAACTGTAGCAAACCTTTGTGAGATTAAACTCACCCCTGTAGTCCTGAGGGGGATGTGTTTTTTCAGGGTTTGTAGTTTATTCACTTGTATCTCAGTTGTAGTTTCAGTCAGCCACAAAGCTTTAAGATCCAAATCGTGTGTTTGTTTACTAAAATAGGTCAGTTGCGGGCCAGACAACCAAACCAATTAGCTTAAAGGTACTAAAACGCTGTTTACCTGAAGGGAACTGCAGAGTCGAGTGATGATTCTCTGAGGGTTCGTCACGGCACGTGACCACTTTCATTTGCATATGAAAGGCATTTTAATTTTATGTCAATTATGAAAAAATATACTTAAATACGTTGTCTCTCCAAACATGTTTCCTGGAATTGTAGATGTGAAAGTATTTTCAGGCATGTTTTATGAATTGCTCGTCCTTGCAGGACAAAAGCATCGAGGAGCAACTTTCGATGGGGATTCGGTTCTTCGATCTACGCATTGCACACAAACCCAACGACTCGTCCAGCGACTTGTACTTCACACACATCATCTACACACATTTAATAGTCTTGGTGCGTATAATCATCTTAAAGTTTCAGTTTGGGCTTTTTTGGCATGTTAACAGTAAATCTCTCTCCTCTACAGGAAACACTGTCGTCTGTTGCCACCTGGCTGGACTCTCACCCAAAGGAGATAGTTATTCTTGCTTGCTGCAATTTTGAGGGAATTGACGACAATCTCCACAAAGCATTCATTTTCTCCCTGAAGAAGCTTTTTGGCTCAAAACTCTGCCCCCAGAATGTTAGTTTTCTCCTTGTACAGCTGATTTACGGTGAAAGTAAAGACAACATAATGCCTTACGAAACCTATCGTGCCCTCCACAGGAATCAGTCCTGACCTTGCGGAGTCTGTGGGCATCTGGTTACCAGGTTATCCTGTCCTATGACTCCAATATTGCAGTGGGGCATCAGGAGCTGTGGCCTGCCATCCCCTACTGGTGGGCCAACAAGCGCACAGCACAAGAAGTTATCAGCTACCTGGACTGGAACAAAGGCCTGGGACGTCCAGGTGAGTTTCATTTACACTTTGGCCTCTTCCCGGACATTTACTGCACCGAGCGGAGCATCTAACACTGAAGCGTATTATGTGTGCTTCCTGGTGTGCGTTCACGAACATACTATGTTTTCTGTTTTGTTTATTTTCCAGAGGGCTTCTTCGTCTCTGGCCTGAACCTGACGGCTGACCGGTGTTACATCACGGTGAACCTGAAGCAATCCCTGCGGACGCTGACCTTCAGTAACTGGGAGTGTTTGAGGAAGTGGCTGGAGAAGCAGCGACCCGGGTCGGACCCCAAGAGCCTCAACATCATTGCTGGAGACTTTGTGGGTCCACTCCCGCTGTGCTCTGTGGTCATCGCACTGAACCAAAAACTTCTAAGAAGAACGCCGTCAGATAAAAAATCCACTTAGCTGTGATTTTATTCCACAGGAACTGATCCCAGAATAGCCACTGTATACCTCATTTTTTCTTGTCCATACGTCAATTTATAACTAAAAGAAATGTTTCTGTACTTTTGAATCTACACTTTATATATGTTTACAAGAACGTACATCATTCTTATGTGTGTTCAATATATTATACTGTACAATAAATACACTGTTTGTAGTACAGTTTGCCGTCTGCATGGACCCGTGAGTTATTTGAATCTGCATCATCCTCCTCCCCACTACAGCTGCTGCTCTCTCCCTGCGAACAGTTTCTTGTAGCGTCCGTAAGCGGCGGCGCTGATGATGACCTTGACAACGGCCGAGCCTTCATCTGCATCCACCTGCACGTCCTGAACGGTGGCCTCCTTGTACAGCCAACTGTGGATGAAGATGCACATTTAGTGCTGTGCTCTCTTATTTTAAACAACAACAAAAAAAAAAGTAAAGAAAAACAGCTTCCCAGCTCACCTTAACTGGGAAGTGCTGAGGTCAACTTTGAGGTCTAAAATGTGCTTTCCTGTAGAGTTAACAATCTCTTCTTCCACTGCTTTCTTCAGCTCATCGAGGCCTCGCTCCTCCAAGGCAGATATGGGCAGTGCGTTGGGCTCTGTAAACTGATAGCTGGGGAGGGATAACAGAAGATACTTTGACTTTTCTTCCTCTTCTGAAGACTAACCCGAGTACTGGCTCGACCCCATTCACACAGCACACACAATTACACTCATAATGATGCCCATATGAATGAATCAGTTACATTTTGTGGCTTTGTGACAAGATCTTGTGTTGAAACATTCAGCCCAACACCAAATTTACCTTCTAGATCTTACTGGCTGCTGATATTTTCATTCTGGATAAACTTCCATATCGAATTTAAAAGATCTTGGGAAGTCTTAAAATCTCTTACTTGTCAATAAGGTCAATTTTATTGTGGACTTCTATCATGGAGCTCATCAGCCTGTCAGGGATTTGCAGGTTCTTGAGGACTTTCAGTACGTTCACCTTCTGATTCACTGTCTCGGGATGACTGACGTCTCTGACGTGAACCAGCAGATCCTGGAAGGTCGAGAAAGACAAATACAAACTCAATTACTCAACGCTTCATTAAATCCTTAACTTTTACTGAAACTCTGGATATTTCACGAGCCATGTGGGTTGCATCTCATCACAGACACCCTTAAAATGAGCATCAGGTACATACTGAGTGTTTAATATCTTCCAGGGTGGCAGAGAAGGAGTCAATGAGTTGGTGGGGCAGCTGGGACAGAAAGCCGATGGTGTCCACGTACAGAACAGTCATGTGGCTGGGCAACCGGCCGGCGTGGACGGTGACGTCCAGTGTGGCGAAAAGCTGGTTTCTGGGTTGAAGACCACTGTCACCAGTAAGCGCTTTGATCAGGGTCGTTTTTCCTGAGCAAACGATGGAAAAGAAAAGTCATGTAGTCAATGTCGTCAAAACTGAAGCCCAAAATATATTAAAATGAAAAATGTACCAGCACTGTTTCCAGTCCCTCACCACAGTTTGTATATCCTAGCACAGAGACGATGGGGAACTCCTTGTGTTTACGCTGCGCTCGCAGTAGGTGCCTCTTTTTCCGCAGTTTTTCCAACGCTGAGCGAATCTTCATCTCCCGCTCCTTCAGCAGTCTCTGCTGGACCTCCACCAGCGTCTCGCCTGCAGGGACCAATCACAGAGCTGAAGCTCCTTTCTGACAGGGCAGCTCAAGTGCTCTAACATCCAGACGTGTGTGCGCTCAGGTTTATCACCGGGGGTGTCGAGATGTTACCTGAGCCTCCGATGTATCTCGATCCTCCACCCTGCTGGTCCAAGTTAGCGATTTCATTTTTCAGACGAGATCTACCACCGTCAGAGGAAGACATTTTAAAAGGAGAGCAAACATAAATTGGATATTGATCCCATCAATGACGTTACCTTAACAAGGGGATCTCAGCCAGAGAGATCTGTAACTTGGCTTCTTTAGTCCTGGCGTTGCAGCGGAAGATGTGGAGGACCACTGAGTATCTGTCAAAGACTTTAACGCCCCAGGCTTCCTCCAGCTCCCTCTGCGTGGAAGAAAAGGCCGTAAGTGCAGGAAACCTTTCTGAACATAGACCGAATATTTTTTTTTAGATAAGCTTACCTCAGACAAAGGAGACAGACGTTCAACATTCACAAACACAGCAGTGATTCCTGCAGTTTGCCTGATTTTCTCTGAAGGGGAAAAAAAAACAAATCACAGGTGAGTCATATTAAGACTCCACGCACAGACACACAGGTGGACACGCAATGGAGAATACCTGCAAGAGTCTGGAAGTTGCCTTTGCCAAATATCCTCTTCTTCTCTGGTGTCTTTGTGGAGAGGATGATCTTGTCCACCACTTTCCAGTTGTCTAAAGTGTTCACCAGCCCCACGGCCTCGGCCATCATCAGCTCGGCTGCAAAGAAAGCAGTACAGCGTGAGAGGAGTCCCACCATCACCCTAGCGTGGTCCACACACTCACATCTGTGCGCGTGCCTTGTTACCTGTGGTGAGATGCTGCTTCCTGCTTCCCCACTTCACATCGGGGTGAACGATGAACACCCTGTGCTGGCCCTCTCCGATGCCTGCAGGGACCTGCTGCAGAAACAGCTCCTCCACCTCGCTGTCATGAATGAAATCTTCACCCTCCTCCTCCTCCTCGGTGAATCCCGTGTGGCGACCACAGCTGGAGTCCTCCGTGTTCTTTAGCCTCCATGCAGACAGTGCAAACGCCCTGGACAGCACCGCAGACGCGCTCTTCACTGGCGCAGCGTGGTGAGGCGTGTGTGGGAGGCTGCAGGGTGCTGCTCTCTGGCCGCTGCGTGCGCACGGCCTCTGCAGGAGTGCTAACCGTGAACCGATCCTCCTCAGTGTCGTCATGTTGCCCCCGGAAGCTCCCCTGCTTGTGTCATCGCATTCAGATCTCGGACAGTATTTAAGCTAACCACCACCGATCATGCTATGTGCTAGACGAGAGCCACAGGTCACCCATGAGCGCTGTTTACGTCCTCTTCTTCGTCTCCTTCTTGCTTCCTGAAGGACCACAAACCAACCTGTAGACCGCACACTGCCCCCCTGCTGTAGCAGGAAGTATTGTTGATATCCCAATAGTAAGAAATATATCTATAACTATTATATATTATGTTAACGTTAGGTTGTTATCTTTTGGGGGTTTCAGTAATGAAAGCAACTCTGCAACTATTATTTCTTTATCAGTTTTATGTTGTTTCGGTTCCCTCTTTATAATCCTTGAGAAAGAAATTGAACTTTATTTTAGAACAATCTGTTTCTCCTCCAACAAAAAGACTGAAGATACTTGCATGTTGTTTGAAGGTCTTTCAGTGATATTCTTATTTTTTTGCTGTATTATTACTGTACCCCCTAGCTACACATCCCTTATGTGTTGTATGTATCCATTACACAGTTATTTTTTATAAGTTGCTTGGATATCACTTTTCTGCTAATAAAGAAAAGAAAATCTTTTTGATAGTGCGGTGGAGTTCTGCCTTCCAGGCAAAGTTTTCTCGCAGGGTGTGTACTTAACCACATACTGCCTTACCAACCGAACATTTGAATCTACAAGTGATAAAATGTATGGATTTGACTAAAGTTAACGTTTGTGTTTGTTACGTAAATCTTACTAGAGTGGGACTTTTTACCCAGGGGTTAGAGTTTAGGACAACCCTTGGCAGGCAGAAGCTGCCTGGGAGACTAAACACAAAGAGCAAAAATATCCCTCTTTATGTAATTTCCTTTATCATTTAATTCCACTACTTTATTTACATCTTAAATGAGGAGCTATACAGTGAAACAAATAAGCTCATGGGACATTACATTTAATACAAACTAAAGAAAAGGAAGGTGTTTGGTCTCACAGTCAGTCTGCCCCCTGCTGGACTAAAGTGTTATTAAACCTCTCACTTACTATAATTTAGCCGTGACATATTAGACTGGAAGGAAATACATTCCCATGCTTTCAGTTAATTTCATTTCAGATTATTTTGGAGGTACCTTCATTTTCATTTTATTTGCCGAGTCAGAAGCAGCAGGACCTGAAAGCCAATGCCTACTCGAGTTGTTGGATAAACTTTTGTCCAATGAGAAAGCATATTATATGGATATTGCAGTGGGTTAAAAAAAATCTGTTCAATTTCAACATTCTGGGATTATTACTGTATGTAACTAGCCACATAGAGTTTATAGTTCTACAGATTTTTAAAAACGTTAAACAAAAGGTCTAACAGGCATCTTAAAACATGACTTTAGTAATTACCAAACAACAGAAAACAGAGCTGCCAAAACATCAAGTCTGAGGAGAAGTAAAATAAATACATAGTAAGAAAATAATTCCTTATATCACAGGTTTGTAAAACACCGCCAATAGTTTTTAAATGCTTTAATAAAACCTACCTTTCTGTAAATAATCATTTGCACAATATTGTTGTATCAAAATATTATGTTAATATCATTAATAAGATGCTGCCAACCCCACCGCGCGTGGGCGTGAGCCCTAAAAAAGTAGTCCAACAGGTCGGAGCAGTCTCAATAATTTGGACCCCAACGGGGCATATGTTGGTAGAAACTGGGAGGGCCGGTGTTTTTAACGTACTTAGGAATGTTTTTATTTTAAACCAGTGGGCGGTACTACTGATATTTTAGATAGGAAAGGAACCAAAAAAACATGCCGCAACACGACTGAAAATGACTCTCTCGGAGTGAATCAGGTGTGCGTGTGTCCTTCAGTTGTGTGAAAGGAGCGAGCAGAAGACGCGGAAGTAAATTTAGACGGACGTGTTGTTAGTAATGGACCAGTCATCGTTGTTCAGTTTTAAGAGGAGAAAAACTTTGAATTGTTTTCGCGTGTCGCGTGCGCAAATCTGTCCTCAGCGGGAGATGCCTGTGGTGCTGTGGCGCACAGGACTGTTGCTCTGTTTCCTTGGTTTCTGCGGCTGTCTGGGTGAGATACATCTCTGTTTGGTCATGCGTGTTACACACCGAGATGACTTTTCACACTTTCACTTACCTTTTTACCTGTGCTGTCTCACTCTTTTCTTTACAGAGGAAGAGTGCGTCCTTGGCATTGTCGGGCGGCCTGTGTCACTGTCATGCTTTTACAATGAATTATCAACCTTTAACAATTTTTCCTTTGAGTGGAGGAGAGGCGATTCAGTGGTGTTCAGAATCTCAGCCGAGGCTGCACTTGCTGGAGACCTCTCTCTGGAGCTGCCCATTGTTGATGCTAAAGAGCACAACGTCAATTACAGTCTGTTAATCATTTCAGAGGGGAATCACAGTGCTCCACTGTGCACTGTGTGCCTCAGGATAGCAGGTCAGTGCCAAACACACAGTAGGTAATCAGAAGAACATGTAAAGGAAACTAAGTTTTGTCTTTGATGGCTGTCTGCAGCCAGTTTCAGCTCCCCGCTCCTGCAGAGGGAAGAAGAGTCGCAGGGGGATAAGGAGGTCTTCGTGTGTCACTCTGGTGGTGGTTTTCCTGAGCCTGCTGTTGACTGGCTCATTAATGACAGCGAGGAGCCCCCTGAAGGCTCAGTGAGGACCTTGGCAGCATCACTCCCAGACTCCCATCTCTACAACATCACAAGTCACCTGACGATCAACATTCCCAAAGACTCCAGCGTGTCGTGCATCATAAAGAACCTGTCCATGAACGAAACCTTTGCCTCCACAAGCTGTGAGCGATTGACCGCTGCTCATTCACTTTATCAGGCCCCAAACGCACACCGCTTGTCCACTAATCTCTGGTCCTTGTTGGTTCTCAGATGGAGTGCAGGACAGCCCAGTGGTGACCCAAGCATCAGATGGCGTTTGGATGTTCAGCACGGCTCTCTCTGTGGTGGTTGGGCTCATGGTGCTGGCAGGAATCGCCTATCAGATTCGCCTGGACAGAATAAATAAGAGGAAGGAGCAGGAATTCCAACAGGCTAACAGAGGTAGGCATCTGCTGCTGGTGACACATGCTTCACATAATACACACATCCAACATATGACACTACAACAACATAAAACTATAAGTATGAACGCTTCTCCCATATGCCGGTCCTCCGAAGCTATAAACCATAGATTTCTCGTGTCCCAATAGTCAACCCTTTTGGTTTTTGACATTATATGTAAAGTCATCAGGCTACGTTTCATCTGGAAACCGACCCTCTACTAAATATGTTCCACTCATCTGAATCAATAGTAAACCAAACTTCAGCAAGTCTTTTTCCTAGACAGAATTAAGAAGCGTGTAACTTGATAATCAGAATACAATCTACATATTATACCTTTGTATAATGTAAGGAGAGAGAGAAGGGATGTGTGCTGCATCACACACACAGTGGTGTGTAATGCTATTTTGCCACCACTAAAAAAAAACCTTTTGCTCTTATTGAAATTAAAGTTTGCTTTCAACAGGACACAGAAGACGAAATCGGGACACGGAGGAGACCGAGGCGATGAACCCGGAGCCACAGGACACTAGTGTGTAGAGATCGGAATCGACAAATCCTCATCAATGGTCACTCATTTTCAAATTGAGATACAATGCACTGATTTGTAAATATGCATTACCTTTCTGTTTACCACAGGGAGGATTTAACATTGTAGTCCAAACCTGGGGCTGTTGATTTGTTTTATAGATCTGTTAATGTTTTTCCATCAGGACAGAAAATATGACAATCAAGAACTAAAATGTTTCTACATTTGAAATCTCTGTTGCCATAATCACTAGTCAAAAAACTGAAGGCAATTGTTCTTTTAATGGAGCACTTTTTCAAGAAATGCCAACAGTTCTATTTCCAGTAATATAAAACTGATTAAAAGGATTCAGTATGTCACATTACAGAGGATGTAACCAGCAAATGCTTTATTTCACTTAATAAATGATGTCAACAATTAACTGCTTACCAAGTGTCATCGATTTTCTATTGATCAGTCATTTAAGCACCAGACATTAAACAAATTACAGTTCAATCAGCGACCATCCCAACTGCATCTCTTGCTTCCACTATTAAGACAAACAAGTCTTGTGCGTCACAGGGAGACGAAGACGCTCTGTTGCAGCAAAGATTCTGTTGCGTGGTTTGCGTTGCACCTTTCTTTCTCATGGCTGCAGAGCTCAGCTCGAGCCTCCCTGCACAGATGTGACTGTGTAGATGTCGTCCCGACGCTGAGCGGTGATTGGGATCTGCTGCCGGATGTCGGCTAAATACTGCAGGTCTGGGAACAGAGGATACAGAGAGGTTAAGTACAGTTTCAGACAGTACAAGCCCTACTACCCTTTTGTGTAACCACTTTGAAACCTCTGGACTACAGAGCTGAGATGCATCACTTCTAAATATCTGAGATTATCATGCGCGACGCGGACAAATGGTTTACGGTGGCAGCAGGAGCCACTCTGTCCTGTAGTTGAGAGTCTCTTGATCGATACTGTCTGCAGAAATAAGCAAACTGCTCCCCCGCTTACCGATATCAGCATAAATAACGGCCTCCTCTGGTCCAGCCTTAGAGATCACTTCTCCCCTGCAAACACAGATCGAAACAATCACAAAGCCGGCTACATTTAACATGTGAAAACATTCACAGACAGCAGAAGATACAGCCGCTCATTAATGGAACACAAACACTTTGAATATGACACCAATTTCCCCCAAGTACATGCACTAAACCTAAACTACAATATTGAGGTTCTTTACTTGAGTACTTCTATCTTATGTACTTATACTTCTACTCCGCTACATCTCAGAGGACAACATTGCACCTTTTACTCCACTACATTTACATGACAGTTCAGATATTACATAGGATGTGTAGTTACATATTTAAACTCCAGTATAAAAAGTTGTTCAACTTAGCTTCACCTCAAGCAGCTACAACAGTAAACTGTAAATGACACGTTAATGCATGTGTAATAAACAATATAATGCAAAACTCATGAATCCTACTTTTACTTACTTTTGATATTTTTCCTGCATCTTCCTGATAATACGTTTGTTTGGTAACTAAAGCGGCATTTTGAATGCAGGACTTACGTCATTACGCCTGTAATGGAGTATTTTTACCTTCTGTCAAAGCATATGAAAATAATTTTTCAATACTGCTGGTTTTACTGACGGCAAATGCCTCCACTACTGCTTTCCTTTCACTCACTCATGACTTCCTTGCTGGCAGCAGCACTAACTCGCGTTCCCTTTAATTCCTTCTCAGTGCGTATTTCACAGTCACACACAGCTGGTCAGAGGATACAGAAGGCAACATGTTCCTGGTTGTTACTGTACCATGGGTTGACAACAGTGCTGTGTCCCCAGGCGACATATGAAGCAGTTTCATCTCTGGCAGGAGACGCTGTGGCCACATACACTTGGTTATCAAGCGCTCTGCAAAGGAGACAGCCAAAGGATGTACATCAAACTGTGCAGCAGTAATTTGTAGCTTCTAGACAGTTGTGAAAACCTAAAAAATATAATAAGTCATAATTATCACATCATTGCCATGCCGTGCCATTACCATTACTGAATCTGGCAAAAATTTTAACTTTCATTTTCATTTCATAGGGCCCTATCCATGGTGTCATCATCCAACATGTGAATGTATCAGAACTGCAGCAAGCTCCATCAGGAGGAATTAAGTTTAGAGATAAAAATGTGATAAAATTGGAGAATGTGACGAAACTAAACAGGCAAAAATTTGTATGCCGCGTCTATGACGAAGCAACGTATCCATAATACGCACGCTCTGCAACACTAGGAGTTTCGGGGGTCTACCACCCCCTCTGAAAAAAATCCTAAGGGAAACGCTGCCATGGATACAACCACAAAGAGCTGTGCCTTTGGTGCTGCTAAACTGATAAAAAATACAAAATGTAGAAAACGATGCTTAGATTGCACATACAAATATAAGTATTAAAAATTTTTTTACAATATGGACACATTGAACACTAGTTAAGATTCTCAGAATATACAGAAACAAAGAACACCAGTGTGCTCTTGAGGTTGGCCAAATGGGCTGTCTCTTGGGAATAGAGCAAATGAATGATTCGTTATCAATATGTTATCCCACAGACAAGTAACATTCACACTGGCAGAAATAAACAATTGTAGCCTATATCCTATCTTTGCTGAGCAAAGAAATTAACAGCCCAAATATAGACAGGATGAGTTCAGTGATTGAAGCAAATAAAGGGCCGAGCTATTAATTTAGTTTTATATATATATTCCATAAATAAGTTTTACGGTATTAACCATAGTTAGATCACTCTTTCTGAAGGTACTGGATGTTTCAAAGCATTATTACTTTCATTTTAAATATTTTGTTATGATAAAATGTATGCATTGTCTGCAGCTTCTTAGGATGTGGCTGCAGGTTTGGAACTAGTTCCACCTTTCTGTTCCTCTTCCTCCACAAATAATGTCCCTTCATTTCACTCTGACCATATCACACAGTGTAGGATGTATTCACACCTGAAGTTTTGAATATCACGCTGTTTCTATTTGTTTGTTTTTTTTAAATGTGTCTTTTTTAATATTTCCCTATCTTGCTTTTATGTAAAACATTTGCCTTGTTGCTGAAATGTGCTGTACAAATAAACTTGCCTTATATCCACTACATGACAGACATAAATCACACAAGAATCATGGGTCACTAATAAATATTTTTCAAAAGCAAAATGTTTTTGGACAGTGACTGGGACTCGAGGTCTGACCTCCCCCTCTGAAGGAGCTCCCAGTGGGCTGGACCGGTCGTCATGTTGAAGGCTCCAGGGTAGACCAGCAGCTGACAGCCTGAGGACAAAAGGACAACCCGATCACCTCTCCTGCACACCATTAAAAACATGTAAAACAGCGTAATCAGCCACTTACCTTTCCTACTATAGAGCTGTGCAAGCTCTGCAAACCTCAAGTCATAGCAAATGCCCACTCCCACTTTGCAGAATGCTGCCGGAGGAATTACAGAGAAGGCAAGAGTCAAATGATGCTCGTCCAGCTGCAGAGGAGGAAACAGCAGGCGACGGATGTCACTTACGTGTGTCGAACATTGACAAACTGTTGCCTGGGCTCAGCGTCTCAGACTCCTGGAAGCGGATTTTCCCTGGAACGTCGATGTCAAAGAGGTGAATCTTGAAGGAAGATGCATTGACAGATGATGAGAAACACTTTGCGGTGGTGAATATCCTGCTATAATCTCTATGAGGTGGTCATTAAGTAGTTTCAACAAATGACTGAAGCACACGCACCTTCCTGTGTTTAAGAAGCAGCTCTCCATCGGGCCCAAACACTGTGCAGCTGTTATACAACTTCCCACCTTCCTCTTCAGGGATGGATCCTGTTGAACAACAAGTCACATGGTTCATGCCGCCGCTGGACAGAAAACCTGTTTTTGCATGTTTTTCTTACTGTTGTTGTTGTTTTTTTTTCCAAGTAACTTCACAACATTTCTTAATCAGCACCAGGTGAATCTAATCAGCTCACAGGTAAGAACCAATGGCAACAAGCCTGTTTGACTATAAAGTCCAGCACACTGCACAGAAACCAGGTTTTTAGTGATACTCGTACACAATCAAATATTTTCAATGTGTGCCATTCAATGTATTCTGGAAGTTATCTTGTGAAGAAGAGGTTAAATAAATGATTGACCTTTACACAATTAGCCGCATCTACCACCAATATTACTGATTCCCCATGTGACTCCCAGAGAGAGAACTTAATGGATTTTCCACAGCATTCTGACATGTTGTAGCAGGAAAAGCACCGATGTAATTAGTAACATAAACAATGTTTGCATATCATGTAAGTGTGCCCGTTGGGGTCCTGCTACTGTGCCTGCGTCATGCTTTATGCATGGGACACTTCAGTGAAACAGAGATCTTTCATTTTACACCTGGGCTTTTCCTGCAAAATCTCAAAAAGGCCTAATGAGTTAATAAAAGGCTATTCTGTGGATACATTTCATCAAATGCTATTAAAATTTTAAATTACATGAAAGGAGGAACTGTGATATGCCACTATTACCAGTTGTTTCGAAAGTTACTGTCAGCTAAGAAAAAGTGTAAAATATTGTGTGGCTAAACTGGGATCATTTATTAACTCTGCTGTTGGTGGAGAAAGCACGTTAGCCTTAAACTTTGCGGCATGAATACCAAAACCTGATGAACAGTACTGACAGTCTAGATGGAGAATACTGGTGTAACGCCTGTATAAAATGTAAAAATAAATCAATAAAAACAAAGTTAGGAGTAGGGAAATTAACAGGGTTTCCATTAAGGGCCCAGGCTTTTGATTCTGCTCCCCTTAACTCCTCACAACCTTTTGTTTTTTCAAGATAATGAGCTAATTAGCCCACTGTCACACAAGAACATTACTCTGAGGAAAGCTGACACATATTTCATATATAATACTGTATTGTAAATACATCCAAGAGATTTCCAACTTTCAGTATTGAATAGGATTAATGTAAGAAGTAAACATTCAAATGCAAATTTACAGTGGAGGAAAATACTCCCATTACTCTATGGACCCTGTGTGTGTGTGTGTGTGTGTGTGTGTGTGTGTGTGTGTGTGTGTGTGTGTGTGTGTGTATAAACAGCCACAGATGCTTCCCTACCTCCCACTAGATACACCTTATTCGCCTTCGCTGCCTCTGACAGCACCTGAGTGGACTCTCCTGGGATCCGCTCAGCATACTGAGAGAAGAAGTTGGTTCCATATGGAGAGTTGAAGCATTCCTGTATGAATGACAGGTGAGAGAGCAGCTGTTTTTACAGCAGCAATACTGAACCCATGCACTAAGGACAGAATTTCACCACTTTAGGCACTGGCGACACATCTTTCCAGTGTTGTGTGTCCCCCAAATGTTAACTATACCAAAACTACAGCAAAGAGTCCGCTGGTGCAGGGGTAGCAGTCCACTGCAGAGACCTGGTTACAGTTCCCACCTGAAGTGTTTGCAGGTGTGAAGCTGGTGAGGGATCAGTCCTTTAGTTAATAATACACAACAAAAAAAAAAGTGTTTTCACAATGAGATAACCTGTCCCCAAAAAGACAAGCACACCTGTAATCATTAACTGATTTTTTGAGCTAGCTACCACATAGCTTGGACCAGCAAAACAAAAATAAGTTTAGATTGGAGCAGTAAAAGCAGAGGGACAACCAGCCCCAGCCCCAGCCCCAGCCCCAGCCTCCCCTACTGTCCCTTCATCAGACCCTGCTCCTCACCGGCAGCAGCACCAGCTGGCTGCCTTGTCCTGCAGCCTCCTTCACCAGCCTCCGGGCTCTGCTCAGGTTGTCAGCCTTGACGCTCGTCACCTGCAGCTGAACGACAGCCAGACGGAACTCTGAGAAAACAAGAGACTGGCTTTTTAACTGTGCACCTGGAGCAGACATTTACAGACTGCAACTATTAAACTGTAAATGCATTCGGGTCTATATGTACAGACATACCAGTTAGCTACAACTTCAGTAAAATAAAAAGAGAACTTGGTACTTACTTGACATCGCCTTTGCTACAGTAGACATGTATGCAGAGAGGTCCTGTTAGGTTTCACACACAGTGTAGAGCGCAGGTCATGTAATTCCGGATGGCTATTTGTTTCTTTCCAAAATAAGAGTCCAGACGGTTTTACAACACCAGGGAGGTCCGGTAAAACAAAATACAACGTTATAAAACAATAACGACCGCCTGCAGATGCAAACTGGCGGTTCTTCTAACTTAAAGTGACTCTAGGATACATACTAGAGGTTAAGTCATTTAAAAAAAACCTTTAATGTGAAGTTTAGAGGCGAACTTACGTCAGCATAGGTGGGTGTTCCGCAGCCAATCAAGTGTCAGTTTTTCAGCCAGGTCTTTCCTCATTGGTTAATCGAACCAGCAACTAATATTACCTTCAAGTACTACTTGGCTAACAATGCTCACAGGGCTTAGCCATTATAAACATACTTACTTTGAATATAATGCATTTACACTTAATAGAACTGCATCTGAATGATTATTTTGAATGTTTGGTTCTTTAAATGCTTTAAACTGAAGGTAAAGACAGAGGGGACCATAGACCAGACCAGTCATTTTGCTACTGGCTGCTGTGCTTCTTGCAGCGGATATTTGTTTACTTATTATTTAGGAAATAAACCACCTAGCAGTAGCAGGTAAAACAGAACACGATAATCCTGTTCCACAATCCAGTCTACAGTAGTCAGAAATAAGACACCAATGTAAACAGTTTTCTTTGTTTTTGTGCTGTTGTTCAAACAGCAACTTTCCAACAAAGAGGAAAAATATGCTCACTCCGTAAAAGGTCTCTGTTGTAGCTTTTTACAAACATCACAAACCACTTTATAAAGCGTCCATAAGTCACATGATATATAAATGACTTCCACAGATGCAGTCGAATAATCTCCATTTATTAAAAACAGAAAAGCTTAGAAAATAATAGCGGTACAGTAAGGTGCAAATTACACTTGAGACATGTTGCATTTCAACTAGTGGTGACATCCTTTGCTAGTGATGTTACAGAGTAATGTAAAGACTCAAGGATGTTCCAGTCAATACTGAAAAATATCACTAAATTACAACACAATGCATGGGTTACACACAGGAATGCTATGAACGACAAGATTGAAGAAAGACCAGATTTATGAGTCTTTAGTTCAAGTTTTGGTTTTCATATTTTAAATATGCCTTGAGCTCTCCCCTCATTTAATTTATCATTTCATTATTATAATGGATAAAAGGGATAAACCCTCTCTGGACAGACGTTTCAACTGGAGCTATCAGGAAGGTGCTGCATCACTTCAGAGTTTTGGACACTTCAAACCCAGGCTGCCTACACAGCTAGACTTCCAACGCAAATGAATAAGAAAGCAACACAGTTTAAGATTAGATGAGAAGCAGCAATGTATACTGTGATATGTTGCCACTGCTGGTGCCAATATCACACATCACAGGCATGAGGCCGAAGGCAACAGTGGCAAGCAAACTAAAGCCGCTTAGTTTTGACTAATACACTGGAGAAGACAGATTTGAAAATGGATATATAATGACTTTTCCTTTTTTTTTTTTACAATCATTTCGTTCCTCTCAAAGCAGTGCTTAAAAGTGCAAAGCACAGTCCATGTTACAGTGATCTTTTCCTTTCTAAATAGGTAGAAGTTAGCATGGTGATGCTTCAACTGCAATAATAGCCTGCTAGATGCTAACATAATCAGCAACTTATTTCACCTGGACATTTTTAAATAAGGTGAACTAGGGGGAAATCATTCCCATACTGAATCTAAATGGGATGGAAAATACTGAGGCGTTCAGGCTCTTAACAACTGCAATCAGCGAACCTCCTGTTGTAATACTAATGTAGTCCAGAGGGGCTGCAAACCATGCTTTCTGAGAGCTACATCACACTGCTATGAGATGAGGTTAATTCATTATGATATGTATAGCTCAAGAAAGAAAGGGGAGCTTCAAACCGTGTGAGCTGGTTTAGAAGCCAGTTTTACTTTCACTGCATATTCTAACTAATCAGGACTTGCTTTCAAAAGGACATTGCAAAGGTCTGTCTGATATAGAGCAGTTTACACAATATACACACTTCAGTTATTTATAAACATCCTCAAATAATTTCTATTTAAGGCTGCCTGTTGGAAAATAAGAGTTATCAAAAACAGTTGTTGCGGTGGGAAATCTGCCTCACGTGTCAGCACTGCTTTTTTTTGGGGGGGGGGGGGGGGGATTTGTGCATCTTAATGTTTGAGCTGGTCGCCTCACGCTTCACTCAATTCCTGACCAGAACTATGATCAATAAATCTACCCTCAACACATCTGAAAAGTAAATTCAGAGACATGACTGAGCTGCACTACTGTTCACTACAAAACAAACGGGTCGGAATTGAGACGCTCGAGTCAAAAGGAAAAAGTCTTGATTGAACAGGTCGCTTAGTACGCTACGTTAAGGCCAGAGAAACGTTGCCAAAGTGGAATTGCACTGCAGTAAGATCCCATGTTTTGTCAATAACAAAGAAAAATGTACAGTATAACCAATATTGTTGAACTTAGTGTAAGAGAACGGTTGGATGACTGCGGAGCACCTAAGTATTTCAACCCACCCAGCCTGTCCCACAGGCCTGCAGTCAGCAGTGTGTCCCCACGTCCCAAACACAGACACACAGGGCTTCACAGTCAACACTGCACTGGATCTGTCCAGGAGGGAGAGGACAGCCGAGGGGAGAGCGGGAGAGAGTTTCACTCTCGGCAGACAGAGACTCTTCTTACAGTTTGTGTCGCTGCTGGCCATCACGACCCCGTCATCTCCCTTTACGAACTCTCCAGAGCGTCTAGGACTTTCATGATCTGCTGCTTAATGACCTTGGTGGCGTCGCCTGCGTTGGGTATCAAATATCTGAGTGGGGGAGGGTGGGAAAGAAAAAGTTAGTTTTCAGAAAACCATAGTGAATTTTAACAAATAACTGCCAACAAACAACAAAAGAAAATATTCTCTGTCGAGCTTCAGTAAAGAGTTTCATAAACATGAGTTGTTATATCCTAAGACAGTTACTGAAGGTCTAATTAAGCCTAGTGCACTTTATCTCCCAGGGTAAATGTGTACTACATTTAATTTAAACAAACATCAGTATGTTCAAGGAATATTGACATTTTGCTAGCTAGCCAGCAGACCATTAGCTTAGCACAAAGACAGGAATACAACTGACTGTTGCTCACCAAGTCATTATTACAGCATGTGGCTCCCAATTAACCTACAAATTGTGTTGTTTTTATATTTCAGTTTGTGTACAGTTAAACAAATGTAATAAGTTGTGTTAATTAGGGAGCTTAGGATGTGCTGGTAGGCATATTTTCCAACTTTGGAGGGAGCCAGACTAGCCATTTCCCCCCTCCTTCTGATCTTTATGTGAGCTACGCTAGTCGCCTGCCGGCTCTAGCTTCCTATTTAGCATATAGACATGAAATAGGAATTGATCTACGTTCTCATCTAAACATATTCAAACATTATACATTTCAGTCTGCAATTTGCCTTATAATTATACCCAAATACGTTTTTTAGGATTTTAAATTTGAGATGTAATCCTACAGACGAGCACCTCTCAACTGCCGTTATCTCCACTCCAGCTGAGTTGTTGCTGCCAAACTTGAATGTAATCAGTTCTGGGTGCTTCTTTTTGGATGTGATCTTCACCACAGAGTTCAGTGCTTGTCTGGACTGGATGTAGGCAAAGCCTTTCCTTGCAGCGATCTCCCGCAGGCAGTACATGTGAGTCGCTGTGATCAACAAGTGGCTGCAAAACCAACAGAATAACACAGTCAGTGTTGCGATTCATGGATTCCGGATTTATTGCAAAGCCTCTTGTTCATTCATGTTTAAGGAAGTGGGGATTAGTCATGTTTAAATGCAACTTCCCCTTACTAAGTATCCAATCAAACCACACCCATATCAGCTCGGGAAGATGGGTGTCATGAGGAATATTAGAAACATTACCAAATTCATTCAGGCAACAACTCACCTGGGGAACATGTGGCCCGTTTCTTTCACCTCATTACATGGAATGTGATGCTTTACATCTGGTTTGTTTGTCCAGGTCTGAATGTTGACAATCTCCTTCCTGTCGTCGTCTGACATGGACGAGCTGTCGATCTCATCTGGGGTGGGGAGGGGGGTGGTGGCATTAGATGCAGGTAACTATTTTGCTTTAACCACATGTCACTGTAGATACATCCAGTGGGAGTTTACCTGTGTCGTACTCCTCTTCATCACCAATACTGAAAACGGGCTTCACCCCGCGGTAAGGTTTGCCAACGCGGTCGCTGCTGCTCACATGCCTAAAGATGAAAAGCAACAGGGCAACATCAAGCACCGAGTGAAGAAAGTGAAGACCATTAATGCCTGTGTTTAAAGTCACATAACAGCAAGGCTGCACACAAATAGAAATGGCATGAAGACCTCCAGGCTGCAGAAAAAAAATGCGTAGCCCACTACTGCCAGGTTATGCTGTTAAATATAAAGAAAGGGGTTAAATGAGACATTTACAGTCCAGAAGAGCTACAGATTAGTCATGTATGATATTGAGGGCTATAGGCAACAAATTAAGTGTTGTTTTGATCTTTTATCGTGGATTAATGTTTCTGCATAGCCCTGGCTATCATCTAAAAAGAACAACAATGAAATGGAAAGACAGACTGTTCTCCAAGCAAACAGCAGTGAAGCTGAGGTTCTCCCTGAGATATACAGACTAGAAAGATGTGACGGCCTCAGTGAGTTGCTGATGGAAAAAGATGACTCGATGCTTCCTGAGAGGCCACAGCAGCTTTAAGTCGAGTGAGCTAAACAGCAACGCTGAATGTTGTTAGTGAAAGCGTGAAGACAGATCCTAAACATCTCCTACACGGCCTGCTCAAACTGCAGGGGGAACTTGTAGTGTCGTTCCATGAGTGAGCGGCGTGGGCGGAGATGCTGACACTAAGCATGCGTTAATGTGACACACGAGGCCAAGTCTCCTACAATCCCGCGGACTGATTGGTGCGGGTCTACAGCCAGTGGGCATGCTGGTGACAAACAGCTCGATGGCTGGGGGGGGTCTTACCGATCTGGAGTCACCTTCTCTGGCCAGGGCAGAGTGAAAGACATTCTAG